TTCCTAGACCTAATCTAAATAAATTATTGAAATTTTTTTAAACAGTCTTACCCCAACCAAGGCAGCATGAAATCCCGCAATACATATTCAATTATTTGTTGTAATTGTAGGTCAACAGTCTTCCCAAATATCAATGGCAAATTTGATGGATTCTTAATTGGATTTGGCAAATCGAAAATACTGCTTCTGAAAAACAAATAAAAAATAATACAGAATACAAAATACAATAAAATAAAATAATTAATTATTTAAAGATTATGACTTAATGAAATGCTATTATTTACTTTGTGGCATTGTAGAGCACATTGGAAGGTTCCCGATTAGGTTTGATTGGTTCATTTGTGGTGAAGATATAATGTATATAAATAGTAGCGACGACAGCTGCAAATAAATACAAATAAATAAAATAGATTTTAATTAAATTATGGGAAATTTTACAATAAATATATTAATTGGAAAAATATACAAAAATATGTATGGATAAGCAGCTTACTGATAAGAATAGTTTTGCTTTTTTTTGTTTTTGTTTTTGTTTTTAGAAGCAAACAAACTGTCAAACACAGACAATATTCAAACGAAATGGTCAAAGTACATTAACATCATTTGCATTTTACTTACCCGCCAGCGCCAAGAGCAGTGAATAACCTACAAACAGGAAAACGAAGAAAAACGCCGGATAATACCAGAGTACGGCCAATAGTGCCAAGGCGAAGGCGGTAGCATATATTTTCCAATTCACTTGCAAAATACGCAGTACATAACGCAGCTTTGTTGTTGCACTGGTGGCAGCATCGTCAATCGGTTCAATTGGAAATAATGGGCGGCGGCGGCTTTGCATTTTTTCCACTAAAAATTATTACCAACAACAAAAAAGCAACTGTGTTTCTCTACAAAACTAATTGCTTTATGAATTTTGTAAAATTCTACTGCAAACGATTTTAAAATACATTATTTATTTATAATTCATTGCCATAATTACGTCAAAACATTTATTTTAGCTGGTTATGGTTTTTTTTTCTCAGTATGACATTGTTTTTAAGCCTCTACTTCTACCTGTGCTTCTTCCTTATCCATATGTTTGTGCGTGCGTTGTTGTTGTTGTTGTCGGGTGTTTAAAGTGGGTGGTGGTTAGTTGGTTGAAGATTATTACGACCACTTTTTTGTTTAATCAGGTACAAATCAATATTGAAAATTATTTTAGGCAACAAGTTATTAATAATAATTTTAATTGCGTGATTATAATAATAATTATCGGCGTCGTAAGCCTTAATTAAGAGTCGGCCTTATATATGAAAATCAATCTTTTATTGTATCTATCAAATGAATACGCAAATTGTGAGGCTGTGCTTAGAATATTCACATATTAATTATATTTTTTCAATATTTCAATTTCGTTTAAATTAACCTTTTGCTTTCAATTATACTTTTTCGTTTTTTTTTTATAACTTTATATATTTTAAATGTGTTGATATATATTTATTTACAGTTTCCGCGAAACTCTTGCTATTGCTACAATTCTCAGCGATGATTTTTTCTGAATGACGATAAATCCCAATAAAAACAATGAGTAAACCCCAAAAACTCTAAGTACAAAAACAAATCACTATTTTTAAGAAATACTCTTAAACAAATACAAGAGTATGGAATGAGAGTATAAAACAAAATGAAAATGTTTTTTTCCGTTTGTTGTGATTACATGCTTCAAGAAATGCTTCTTTTTGTATTTTATTCACAATAGAACATGTTAACTGCACTGTGAATATGTGCTGATTTTGTGTAATATGGTCAACTTTATGCAAAAACTTTTTGTGTGCACAAAAAGTATGTTAATAATTCAACTTAAATAATTAATGTATTAAAATAAAAATAAATAAATTGAAGTATACTCAATCATTTCGATAAAGGTTGATTAATTTAGTTGATTTCCAAGAGATTGAAAAATTAGCTTATGACGAAGCTTAAACATTTGGTCTGCAAAGGTGAATATTCGCAGGTGATCGTATCTGTAAAAGTTCGTTCTTTCACAAACGTTCGCTTTGGTGTGGATCACCTTAAGAAGAGTGTTTTAAAATTTTGATTGCGAGAACCTCTTACTGCGTTTTTCCATTTTTGTATACAAATCGTATACGTTTCTTATAGGAAACTTACAAAATGTATGCAAAAGTGTATAACTGAAGTTCGATAATCTCATGTCTAAACGTAGAATCGTTATGGTGTATAGATTGAAGTACATAACAAATACTTTAACATTGTAAAAATGTATAATTGAAACATTCAAAAAATTGTAAGTAATAAATAATTTTTTGATATTTAAATGTTTTAAAATATACATTAATTAAGACTTTTGTAGGTAGTATATGGAATACATAATTATGTACATATAAACTAACACGGAATATGGTTGTGTCAAAGCGGTACACACTCTATAAACCTTTTTTTCTACTAATTCAAATTTTCACTATCCGTCTCAGTTTTACGCCATCTTCTATACAATTTCAAAATAATATGTTATAAGCAAATTAATTTGATTGTTTATGATTTTAAAATAAATTTAATATGTATTATATATTTATAGTGTTGACAACTCTAGCCGCTACCGTACGAGGAGAGCGCATTTTTCCACTTCTTATTGTGCGCCGCACACGTGCTTGTGTAAAACTAAAAGTCGACACAAAAAAATACTTTAAATAATTAAAATATGGGTAAAATTCGTTCAAAACTCAAACGCAATACAAAAGGTAAAACATGGAGCAAAGGACAGTCATCAACTTCTAATCCAGAGCAAATGAAACATCGTTTAAAAGCAAAGTCAAGATTCTTTCACTCCAACTTAAGTTTAGGTAAATAAATAAAAAAAAAGTATTAAAATATCATTAATTTAAAAAGAAATATTAACAATATCTTTTTTTTGTAATTCAGCACAAACAGAAGGCAATGAAACTTCTAATGCACTTACCTTGGAAGCGGTACAAAAGCATGAGCAGCGTCAAGCTTATAAACCTGAATCAACAGTTAATGACGTTGCCTTTAGTTTGAAATCATTTAATATCAATGATGAAGATGAATCTATGTCAGAATCACAACCAGGAGGCACATTTCAGACATTTAAAACTTTTGCTTCCACATATAGCAATTGCAGTAATATGAGCTTTAAAAAGTTGCTTGTAGGTTTTCGTGCTACATCAGATCTACATAAATCAATGCTTGCGATTTTAGCTGCTCTGACAGAAATAATTAAGGAACGTGGAGGTACCGAATCATCCACAGAGTATTTTCTATTATTAATGGAGCAAATTGAATCGAGCACAGAAGATGAGGATATAAAAGCTGGTATTTCTCTCTTAGCAATGGGCATTAAAACTGTACCACCGGCTGTTTTGAGAAAACGTTTCAGTGAAACTGGACAGATATTAATAGCATGTCTAAAACGTTTCATTGATCCTAGCCATCAAAACATAATACGTTATGTATGGGATTATTAAGTTTAATTTTAATTTTTATATAAAAATAATTTATTTTAGATTATTGGTTGTTTATCTGTTTTACTGCGTGCACAAGAATATGCAACCTGGACGTATTCCTCTACATGGCAATATATCGATGCTATTCTTTCTTTTACCATACATGCCAAACCAAAGGTGAGTTTGCTAAATATTAATACCAAGAAGTTCTCCAATTGTGTTTTTTTTTTCTTTTATGCAGATACGTAAAGCTGCTCAACATGCAATTGTTTCTATTGTACATGGCAGTATTTTTATGTTACCGGCGAAACCAGTAAATGAAAGTAACAGCAAAGATACTAATAAACAAGAGCCAGTAAAAATACATCCGATCAGTAGTCGCGTTGCTAAAAATTGTGTAAGTCACTTCCAGCCAGAAACATTGGCCAACTCACAAACAACTGTTCTACATGTACTTTCATTACTGAAAGATATTATAAGTGGATTTAAGTCAGAAGATATACGCAATATCTGTGAACATTTACTTTCCATAATGACGGCTGCAAATGTGCTGATACGCACTAACTGCTTTCAAGTATTGCATGCACTTTTTGCTTCACGTACCACAAATCTAAATGCTGAACTTTGTGCTAAATTGGTGGCAGCAATTCATGATTATCGACCAGACCGTGCGGATGTGCGACAAACGCTCGCCTGGTTAACTGTAATGAAAGAAGCATACATACATCTATCAATATTAGATATCAGTTTTTGTATGAATGCATTGCCTACTTTAATAGATATATTAGCAAATGATTTATGGTTATCGGATCGCACTGAAATTATAACTTCAGTGGCTAACTGCACAAAAGAATTGCTAAATGAATGTATTAAACCAGCTTGTGGTTCAATTATGTCAAGTGATATGTATCGCACACAAATAGAACGCATAATAACCTTGTTAACTAAAGTGCTGAATGCACCATTTGGTGATGTAGCCAAATATGTGATATTAACATTTTCTATTGTCTTCGAAACGTGCGGTGTAAACTTTAGGTAAACTTTACTTTTTTGTAAAAATTGTTTAAAACTAATGTTCATATATGTTTTGTTTCTGCAGGGAGGAATTAGCACCAGCTTTACTGACATTGGCTAAACGTTACGACACACAAAACACTTTTCGTATACAAATTGAACACTCAATTGTGGCAGCAATAACATACCTTGGCGCTGATTTTGTATTAAAGACAATACCAATTACTAATACGAAGGCTGAAGTTCTATTAGAAAAATCTTGGTTGCTTCCATTGTTGCGTGAAGGTGCTAAAGGTGCATCATTTAAATTTTTCAAAGAATCTATATTACCACTCGCTATGGATTGTTATAAGAAATGGCATCAATCTGAGCAACAAGATTCTACGGCGCATACTTATGAATTGCTTTGCTGTCAGTTATGGGGTTTATTTCCAGGTTTTTGTCGTGAACCAAAGGATCCAGAAAATTTTTATCTTATAGCACCCACAATTGGTAATGCTTTAGATAATAATCCAGAATTTCGTAAACAAATTTTTGATGGTTTCGTTGAGTTAATACAAAATAATGACAACGAAGAAATAAATAACGCACTGGCCAAGTATGCTAAAAACTTTTTGCCACGACTCTTCACTATATATAGACAGAAACCAAATGGTACATATGAAGCAGATTTACGTATAAAGTCTTTGGAAGTAATTAAAGTGAGTAAAACAAATATATATTATAAATATTCAAAAACATTTAACTTGGTATTCGGTCGTAATCAGTCTTCTAAAACGAACATTTTTCCGTTCCATATCGGTCTGAATACACTCTCTATTTTTAAAATTTATGTAACTTCTTTATCTTTCTAGTTATATTTAACCAAAACGCCTGAAGATATTTTAAATGAACTATTTGAATCGGCAAAGAGTCAGTTGGTTAAGGAAACCTTAGGAAGTTTTGAGTATGATGCAGTTTTTGACGTAACCGCTGCTTTGGTGCTCTTTCAAACCAGTGAAAACTTACGTGTATTTTTCGAGACCTATATTGTTCCAGTTTTAAAGAATGAAAAATCTAAGCTAGTAGCGAAAGATGAACAAAAATTAAAAAAACAACAGAGAAAAACTTATGAGTATGTTAATAGTTTTAAATTAATATTTTCATTATTTAATTAATTGTTTTAAATATTTATAATCCACTTTAAGGCTTTTGCGTGATTTACTCACTTCTGAGAGACCTTCTTGTCAAAAATTTGCACGAAAAAATGTGGTTGCTTTGCAAAAACTATTACTGGAAGCCTTCACGACTAGTTGTGCTGTTTGTCAAGCAGCGAGATTACGGTAGGTTTGTTTAAGTTATAAACAATTCTATAAGTTAAATATATATTTTTATCATTTTTATAATTAGTTGTTTGCAAATTCTAATCAAAAACCGCAAATCCTTAACTTATAATGACAAAATCGTTATAAAAACCATACCAGAGGCAGTCTTATCCTTTAAAGAGTTTTCAACGCGTAAAGAAAATGTATCTGAGGAAATCATTATTACCATAGCAGAACTATATCAAGTAAGTTTAAAATAATATTTTATAAACTATAATTATATATTTAATTAAATTTTACTCGACACTATTAGAACGCCGAAAAATTGAATGATTTAGTGGATATACTCACTGCTGGCTTAGCGGGAGATGAATCTCTAGTATCGAATACAATTTTAACCTTCCGTACCATACTGCAGCATCAAGGAAAGAATTTAACTGTTAATACACTAGAGTATATTCTTGAACAAGTCTCAGTATTTTTGGTGCAAAAATCGCGTGCACAAGCGGAAGCATCGATAGCATTTCTTATAACTTTCATCAAGGTTTTACCGATACCATTAATAGCCAATCATTTGGAGACCATTGTAAGCATATATAAAATACTTTTAAAGTCAATATAAAAATACTAAAATCTAGTTATTAATAGTAATTATTTTCATTAAATATATTATGATTCAGTAACATTTTAAATATATTTCATATATGAACTCACGGCAATGACTTTTATACTCGTCTGCCGAAAGCTTGATTTAATTTATATTTTAATAATAAATTTTCTACTTTATTATTATTTATATTTTAATATAATAACTTTTTAGATGAAATCACTGTCGGCTATGACAAAAGACACAAAACGTTATTGTCGCATCCATGTTGGTTATTTATTAAAGAAGCTCTGTAAACGTTTCACAGCTGAAGAACTTATCAAATTTGTACCTGGAGATGATGAACTGACACATAGGCGCCTTAAAAAAATACGTAAACAATTACGTAGGGAAACACGCAAAAAATTAAATGAAGAAAAAGATAAAGACGGTGATGAGTCTGATGAAGAGTTCGTAGCTGGCTTGGAGAAGAAGAGCGTAACGTAAGTATATTTCATATCGATATATTGTAGATAAAAAAATTCATGATTTAAATTTGTGATAATTTTCTTTTAGAATTGATGACATACTTGCTGATTCAGATTCAGATTTACCAGAAAATATGAGTGATAGCGATGAAGATGACAAAGTTAAATCAACTAAAACTTCAAAGAAAGATCGTAGTATATATATACGAGAAGACCCAGAGGATATTGTAGATTTAGCTGACTTGAAGTCCATTGGAAATGTTTTAAGTAAATATCGTTAAATAGACAACATTATAGTAAACATAATTATTTTATAGTAAATTAATATATATTATTATTATAAGTCATATCATATCGTCTTCCTACATATCATGATCCTTCATTTTTTACTCCTAGTCAAAGACATGATCTGTTTCGATGATATTAAAATTATTGTTAACATCTTTCGAGTAATGTGATCTCTAATGTTTCTATTAAAATTTGAAAGTCGACATAAATTTCAAGCCATAGGTGATGGATCCAAAGTCTATTTATTTGTTCATATAGCGAATCTCTGACTCTGAGGCAGTTACCTGCTTCTGCTTCACGGCTTAAATAGTATACAAATGCTAAATGCTAAATGGAACTCTATCATTGTTCTGAGGAAACCCATTGTTGCTTCCTTGTGGATGGAACTGTAACAAAAAATATAAGCGATATTGAATCAATAATCATAACAAGTACTTTTAGAATGTAGCTCTAGTCTCTCCAAGCAACTTACATTTTTGATAGCTTTTATGCCTATATGTTTATTACTATAACATTGTAAATATGCAACTTTTATAAATAATATATACATTTTTTTTAAATATAATTATAGCCAATCGACCAGATATTGTAAAATCTGAAAATGCTAATGCAAAAACAAAAATCAAAGATTCAAATCGTGGATTTAAAACTGCGGAAGATGGACGACTAATTATAACTGATAAAGCTTTACGTGATGCCGATAATGAGAGTGATAGCAGTGAAGATGAAGGTATCGAAGATAAAGACATGAAAAAATCCACAAAGCGTGGTATGGAAGATGATTCAAGCGATGGTATGTAACAATTTCATTATCTTATAAATTTAATATATTTCTAAACTTATCAAAATTTACAGAAGAACCTATGACCGGGTCTAAAGTAAAACGTAAATTAAATGATGCTTCTAGCATGCGTTCAGGAAAGTCATCTGCCTCACGTTATACTACCGGTGGTAAAGGTATACATCGTCCACTTGGTGTAAGTGACACAGTGTCAATGAAATCAGGTTATACAGCAAAATCAGCGAAATCACAAGGAGGCAATGAATATTCGACTAAAAAAGCTAAAGGTGATATGAAGAAAAAGGGTAAATTGGATCCATATGCTTATATACCGCTGAGTAGAAATACATTAAATAAAAGGTATATTACCCAACTTCAAAGTTTTTTATATATATATTATATATGATATAAACTATTTATGTATATTATTTTATTACAGAAAACGGGCCAAACATGCGGGTAGCTTTAAGAATATCGTAAATGGTGCACGCAAAGGCGCACTGAAAGGTGTTAAAAACAGAATTAAGAAGTCATATAAGTGATCACATTTTAATATTAAAACATTATATAGTATATTAAATAAATAAAGTAAAACAAACGCCAGATATTTGTACATAAATAAATGTTATTTATATTCAATATTATGTATTTAAATATATGTATGTGCTATATTTCATATGTTATATAGTAAAGAGTATGCATAAATAATTAATTTAAATAAATTACTTTATAAATAAGAGAGTATATTTTTACTATCCTGAGAGTTAAGATTTTACCAGCGAATCATGAAAGTAAATAAAAAGACAAATACGAATATTAAAAATAAATTTTAGTCCTTTTTAAAAGTTAACTTAATCACAAATAAGTTTATATATGACATAAAATCCAAAATAATTTCTTAAACAATATTTTTCTCAATATGTGTTTTTATCCATTCTCCGTCTGGATCATTGCCAGCCATTGTTTCTTCAATGAAATGCATTACGTCGTTATTATCAATAAGTATTATTGTGTGTGTTCTACTGCCATAGGATTCATCATCTACACTCACATTAAGCGCACTTAAATACTCGCCCCAGTTGGGTGCACGTCTATTCAATTCGACGTCAGGCCAGAATTTACGTTTACATTTCAGAAGTTCAAATAAATCTTCAATCAATTTCTCTTGTGTTGTCTTAAACATTTTAGAGTCCATTTTATTTTGTGTTTTCACTAAGTTATTCACAATCTCCTCGAAACGTTTACGTCCATAGTGTACTTTTTGAAATGGTGTCTCCGGTAAGCTATTACCAAAGCCATAACATAAACCTTCATCAAATTTCGT